AAGGGAAGAATCAGGAGCTATCATAACTGGAGCCAAGGCAAAAACAGTCTTTAGAATTTCAAAAGCCTCTGCCTTATGGAGTCCATTCTTGATATTCTTTACCATTCTTTGTCATGTGTGTTAAGGGTGCTATTACTGAAGATAATCCCTTAATAAATCTTCTGTAGTAGTTGGAAAACCCTATAAACCTTTAAACCTGTAATCTTCTGTAGTCGCTGGAAAACCCTATAAATCTTTAAAAGACAGTTTGGTAAAGGTCACTCAAGAACCTACGCTAACTTCATTGGATCAATTTGGAAATCTGACCAGATATAATGCATTCCAAGAATTGTATCTGGTCTTTTTTGAAAGACATTTCTCAAGTTTACAGAATAAACCATTTTCCAACAGTGTTTTCAGTTTTTTTCTGACTTGTATATGATGTGTATGTATATTGGGAGAATCAATGAGAATATATTCTAAATAGACTATAATAAAGTAATTAAAAATTCACTCAGTACATCATTGATAAAGTTCTGAATGACGGCTAGAACATTACATAGTCCAAAAAGCATCACTCATCAGTGTACTTCTAGTATGGAAAGCCATCTTCCACTCATGTAACTCCTTGATCCTAACCAAATTATAAGCACTATCAAACATTTATGTGATCAAAGAGACTGGATATGCATTACGGATAGTTTATTTTATTCCTTTCCTATCATAAATGCAAGGCCTCAGATCGCCATACTTTTTTGGAACAAAAAAGACCTCAGCACCAGCAGGAGACTGGGAACGTCTCATACAGCCTTTCTCAAGAGCTTCTTTTATGTATTTCTCCATGACAGTATTCTCTTTTATAGAGATTGGGTATACAGAACCTATGGGAGGAATAGTCCATGGGAGCAACTCAATAGAACAGTCGTATGTGTTAGCTTTCTTTTTATCAAACACTTCTTTTATATTGCATAGGAATATCAGTAAAAAGATGGTTCATGGTAGGTATGTTTATAGATAACACAGTTTGACTCCTTAGTTATAGTGGGTATCAAAAATTTTCTACCATCTATGGCCTCTATGGCCAAGGGTGTAGATTTTTCTGTGAAAACAAGTCTGTATTTGGCAGTCGAAGTCTAATAAGCTGCATCCAAATCTATTAGGGCAGTAGTATGGATTGCTTTTCCTCCCTATTGAAATAAAACAGGTATTTGAAACCTTTGTTCTTGTTTGTCAATTTTAGAGGACTTATACAATACACCCAAGGCCCGTCATCTTTCCAGCCTTAGGTGTGAGAGTTTTCCAGCCTATTGGGGGCATTGTAAACAATGGTGTCCTTTCTTCCCACAATACAGACAAAGATTCTCTCTTCTCCTATATATCTTCCCTGACTAAGTGAACTGGGTGAGCATTTGCCTTAATAGCCAGAAATCCAGTGCCATTCTGAGTGAAGACCTTCTGGTTCTTTCCTTTTGGTTTGTTTATACTCAACTATGATAGGTATGAAGTTAAATCCTCTAATTTGTCTGGTAAACCTTTCGCTTTCATTTCATCTAGCAATGCCTCTGATAAACCATTCATGAATACATTAACAAAAGCAAGATTATTCCATCGTACTTCTGACGCCTAAGTACGGAACTCTAGGGTGTAATCTCCAATACAGCAATTTCCTTTTTTAGTCTTAAAGAGCTTTAGCAGCAGTAGCCCTATGTCCAGGGGGATCAAACACTCTTTTAAAGGGACACTCTAGGCATCCAGACCACTTCAGCTCATCGTAGTGTTCTGAGTGTAGTGTCCCTGTCCCCCTTGGTCCTGCAATGTAAATCATTGCAGTTTTTGACAAACAGCACTGGGTTAATTCAGAGTCAAGTTGACTAGTACTGGTTTGATTTTAAGCAGAATTGCTTTCTGTAACAATTACTGATTAATATTTCTGATAAGGCAAATGGCCCTTTACACAAATAGAAACAGGTTAATGAAGCACACAATGTACAAAATGCAGGCTAGCCTCTGACCATAGGGTCACTCCCAACCCCTTTTAAAAACAGAGCAAACCAATAGAAAATATTTATAGGCAAATCAGGGTGCCACAATCATAATATATTTACCAGATCTGGGAGGAAATTCTCATATATGGAGAAAGAAGAAAATAAAAAATGATATGTTAAAAACAAGTAGCCACAAAAAGCAAAAGCACATAAAATATATAGTGCAACAAACGCTTAGTGTAGCCTGAATAGGCTTAGTCCCTGTTAGGCTGGAAAATCACCACATGGTCTGGAAACCTTTACGCTGCCATAGACTTATGCATTAACATGTTTCTGCTTTCCTTTGTCTCTGTAATCAGCTGCTAGGAATACTCAAAGAAGCCACACTATTTCAGACAGATTATCAATAAGCATTCAAAGGTTTAATGTGTAATACATCGTATATATAAAACACAGTTTGTCTAGGGGTGTATACATCAACGGAAACCTTAACCTATCATAGGAGTCTCAGAACAGAAAGTATAATTTTTCATATAACATTACATATTGCTGTTAGTTAGTTTCCTGTTAACGGATGCAAGTAACAGTATGAGATTAGGAACCTAATTAAAATGTGCATGTGCTAGAAAGAATGCTGTTTTTTTCCCAAGTGCAGAATGTTTATAACAGATAGCGAAAGCTGGTGTCAGGCTCAAGGACACAAGAACAGAAAAATATTGTATGTTTAACCCCTTAGTGACCGCGGACGTACCAGGTACGTTCGACAAAAAACGGTCGTTAACGACCTCGGACCTACCTGGTACGTCCACGGCTATTGTCAGCGCTGGAAGCGATCATGATCGCTTCCAGGCGCTCTTACGGTAATACACGATGCCTCGATATCAAGGCATCGTGGAATACCCCACTACACTGCCAGGGACCCAAATGATCGCCCCTCTCCCCCTGGAGCGATCACTTCCGGGTTTGCCGCACGTGGCGCCTGGCAGTGTAGGAAAGAGAATCTGAAGCCATCCGCTGTCTTCAGATTCTCTTACCGTTACTGAGTGCCTTGAGGGGTCGAGGCACTCAGTAACAGTTGTAAAAAAAACTATATTTAAAAAAAAAGTATTAAATTTTAAAAAAAATTAACCCCTACCCTCCCTCCCCCTTCCAACTACAATACAAAGCCCAGACGAAGGAATGAAAATCCTTAGAACCTGGGGCATTGAAATTCCGCCTGCAACGAAAGAGACTCAAAGACTCCCTCCATCATGGAGGAAAGCCAAACGCTAACTCGCCTCGCTGGGAGGGTGCTGTGTCGCTGAGCCTGAGAACTGTTAATCCAGCCATGTGAATCCAGGCTTGTATAACATTTGCTTTGTTAAATTTTCTATGTTTAATGGCAATGTAAATAGGAGCTACACTATAGATGTGCATGCAAAGACGTGGGGGCATGGCAACTGTGGAGGGCGGAGGATGTAAAGGGACATATGTAATCTGAGGAACAAGGCTAGATAGGGGCCTGGGTCATGGATATAGTGACATGGAGACCAACACCGGAAAGGCCTAGGCAGGGGAGCTCACATTCGCGCCCCCCCCCCACAGACCCCCCAGAAAGCTCCGCCAGATTACTATATAGAAAAAAAATATATATATATATATATTCATTTTTATTACACTATACCAACATGCAATCTCAGGACACGGGCAGGCAGACAGCGACAGCCCATCCACGCAACCTTTTCAAAAAAAAAAAAAAAAAAAGGGTCACCCAGACAAAAGCGAAACATGAGAGCAAAGGCCGCGGCCGACGAACCGCAGCCAGGACAGGAACCATTAGTTCCTACCCCCACCGCACCACCACCTGGTGCATAGCCGATATTTCGGCAAAAAAGTTGATTTGTTATAGTTTACCCATTTCTGTTACCTATTATGTTTTTATGTTTGTATTCATGCGTGCACCTCATGCACCCCTCCCACTTGCCAAGCACTCCGTAAGCTACCGTCCAAGATCAGATAGAGCGGAGATCATGCCGCTCTCTCCCTCTGTACCTAGAGACATGCGAAATAGCCCTCCGGTTACCCGGGGACAGCCCTTGAGTTCGGAGGAACTGGGACACAGGGACTCCCCGAAATATATATGTCGAACACAAGCACAAATACCATCTTATGACCACCTCCCACCCTGAAAATCTACTCACACAACGTTAGGGGACTGAACATCCCGGTTAAGAGACACCTCCTATACCGAGAGATCAAACATAAAGCAGTAGATGTTCTATGCCTTCAAGAGACACATTTCATGACCAACGCACACCCCACCGTCCTACAGAAAGATTATCCTATGCAAATCCACGCCACATCGGCTAGCAAAACCAAAGACACTTCCATACTAATTAGCACAAATGTAGCCTATGCCCCGCATTCCCAACACATTAACCCGGACGGCAGATACGTCATTATAGTAGGCACGCTCAATGACATGCCCTACACCATAGCGAACATATACGCCCTCAACACGAACCAACGCAACTTTTTACATAAACTTATACAGAAACTGCAGTCAGTACAGCTAGGGACGACAGTCATATGTGGCGACTTCAATCATGTATTTGACCCCTCCATAGATACGACACTAGCTCCAGCTAGAAAGCGCAACGCACCCCTCCGCAAACAAAGTAAAGCACTCTGCAAACTTATACACAATAACCATCTGTATGATGTATGGAGAGCCACTCATGTAGGGGAAAGAGGGTACACATTCTTTTCGACAGTGCACAACACCTATTCCCGCATTGATGGCTTCCTTATCTCAGGGACAGGGATAGACCAAGCGGCCCAGTGCGAGATAGGACAGATTACATGGTCCGACCATGCCCCGGTAGAGCTAACGTTGAAAAACCTCTATGACCCGACCCATAGAAGCCTGTGGCGCATAAACACAACATTACTGAAAGATAGTGCCTTCTGCACGGAGCTGAACCAAAACTTAGCCCAATATTTCCAAGACAATGATAGGCCTGAAACGAGCCGAGGTACCCTGTGGCAGGCCCACAAATCGGTGATACGGGGGCAACTGATACAGCGGGCAGCATACTTAAAACGGAAATCCCGCCTTCAGCTCCACACATGCCAAACAGACCTCCAGCGTGTCACGACACAAAACCAAATAACTCCCTCACACGAACTGCGGGAACAAATCATGAAACTCACAAGACAGATACACCAAATGTCCTTGGAACAAGTGGGATACCACCTGAAAAGGCTATAGGCACAAAACTACACACAGGGAAACAAGGCAGGTAAACTATTAGCACAAAGATTAAAGTCACAACAAGCAGCCCAAAAAATAGCGTACTTGCTGTCTCCAAGCGGACAGAAAATAGTGGCACCCAAAGACATTAGCAACGCATTCACCAAATACTACGAAGCACTGTACAATCTCAGGGATGACCCAAATAGACCCCAACCACAAGATCGCCCTGCCCAAACTTACACCCGCTCAGCAAGATAGCTTGTCCGCATTGATAACAGAAACGGAGGTGATGAGAGCGATTGACTCTCTACCTTCCGATAAAGCCCCAGGTCCAGACGGGTTCGCCAGCTGTTACTACAAGTACTTCCAAAGAACCCTAGCCCCTCACATTACTAATGCTTTTAATGAAGCAGCCACGAAACACGCACTCCCGCCAGAAGCCCTCAAAGCTCACATCATTACACTGCCTAAACCGGGCAAGCCACCAATCCACCCACAAAATTTTCGACCGATATCACTACTGAACACAGACACAAAACTCTTCGCGAAAATATACGCCATCAGACTGGGCACGATCCTCCCACACCTGATAAGGAATGATCAAGTAGGATTCGTTAAAGGGAGACAAGGGGGGGACAACACGAGAAAGGTCATCGACATTATACATAGCGTCCACAGGCAACATACAGAATGTGTAACGCTCTCACTAGACGCGGAGAAGGCCTTTGACCGCCTGAACTGGAGGTTCCTGAAAGCGGTCCTGGATAAGTTTGGGATGCCGGGGGCATTCTGCTCGGCGGTGGAGGCCTTATACAGCAAACCATCGGCACAGGTGGTCACGGCGGGCTTCACTTCGGAACCATTTAGTATCACTAACGGAACGAGGCAGGGATGCCCACTCTCCCCCTTACTATATGTGTTGGCTTTAGAGCCACTAGTGGAGACAATACGGGCCAACAGCTCCATACACGGAGTAACAGTGGGCGACAGGGAATACAAAATCAATTTGTTTGCGGACGATGTCATGCTGACACTAACGCAACCCCAAATTTCACTACCAAACCTCATGGAAGTCATTAAAGAATACGGCCTTAACTCCTACTACAAATTAAATGTCACTAAATCACAGGCTATGGGTGTGGGAGTCCAGTATCACCGGCTGAAACACTTGAGTGAGCTTTTCTCATTCGACTTGAGGAAGGATTATATTACCTTCTTGGGCGTCCATATACCCCCCCACCTACCCCATTTGTTTAAGTTAAACTTTACTAAACTGATCAAATCATTTACAGACACGCTACACACATGGGAGGGTAAATATCTCTCATGGCTGGGCAGACTGGCGGCGATTAAGATGTCTATACTTCCCAAACTCCAGTACCTGCTGCGCACGGTCCCGATAAGTCTGCCGGGCCAATACATGAGCACAATCCAAAAGCTGATCGTACGGTTTGTGTGGGCCAACCGCAAAGTGAGGGTGGCCAGCAAGCTCTTACAAAAACCGATCAGAGAAGGGGGACTGGGCATGCCCAACATCCGTTCTTACCATAGAGCCACATTGCTGACTGCCATAGCAGCGACAAACGCAGTAGAAGACCCCCCCCAATGGGTCCACATAGAAACACACTGGGCATGCAAACAGGGGCTGCGACACCTATACCAGCTGCCATACAAACTACGACCGCCATACACAACCATGTTACCAACCACGGCAGCAATGATCAAAACATGGGACTCTGTGAGGGCATCACTGGGCATGGTCGGACCAACTATAGGGAATATCCCACTCACGAGCATCTCAGTGGGCATACCGACGTTTGACCACACCCCCTGGGTGAGAGGGGGATGTACCCACCTTAGCCAGATATGCGGGAACAACGAGTTATTGCCGTTCCCAGAACTGCAAACCAAGTTCTCCTTGCAATCCAGACACATATTCCCTTACCTCCAACTGAAATCATTTGTGGCCTCACACTGCAAGGGATCATGTGTTGAACCACCAAATATTGGCGCCTTAGAACAGATATGCCTACAGGGCAGTATACCCCAAAAAATCCTGTCGAAACTATATGCACTACTGAATACAGTAGATACAAACAGACACAGAGACTTTAGAGAAGCCTGGCAGAAAGACATAGGACACCCAATAGCAGACCTAGACTGGAAACAGGCATTCCAAACGCACAAAGGGCACACATCTTGTGCGACTCATCTAGAAACAATGAGGAAAATTATGTACAGATGGTATATGGTCCCGGACAAACTAGCGAAACTATACCCTGGATGCTCAGGGGAATGCTGGAGGAGGTGCGGAGAAAGGGGGACAATGTACCACATTTGGTGGACTTGCCCGATAATCACTCCCTACTGGGCGATGGTGGAAGGGATAATCACTGACGTGATAGGCCGCCCTTACAGCTTGGGGCCTGAACAGGGCATACTATTCATGCATCTTGCCCAATGGCACAAGCAGGAAAGACAACTGATATTCCAAGTGCTCATGGCGGCAGTAACCCTGATAGCCAGACAGTGGAAACATCCACAAGCACCCAGCAAACACGATCTCCTAACACAAACATCCACAAACTGGGAATATGAGGCTATGGCAAATAAATACATTACAAATAACCACATGATCATAGACACAAAAAACAAATGGGAAAAATACATTCAGAGAAGTTCGCACCACTCCAGAACTCATAGGTACGCTAGGACAAGAGAGTTGGAGTAGAGTACCAAAGCCAGAGAGACGGGGAACGACTGAGACTTGACCTGGGAGGAGGTCCTGACACATAGAACCGATGGTGCATTGGAGGTAGAAAGGTAGAACCAACAACTAAGAAGCATGGGCCCAAAGGGAGGGCAAAGAGGCACACCACTTTCAAGAGGTCTACAAACTAAATCTCTTCCCCTTTCTTCCCTTAATTCTTTCCCATCCCTTCTCTGCGCACCCTACCTCCACCCCCCCCACACACAACTATTGAGCTACAACTTAATATGTAGCTAGTCAGCCGCTCTAGCGAACAACCCGCTAACAGTTCACGTACGCCCAGCCCAGACGCGGCCACCAGACAACCACATTACGCTAGCTCCCGAGGGGAGAAGAACCCAGACTCCCTGCAGGAGGCCAGTATACAAGGGCAGGGGGACGGCACAATACACATGGGATAAGGGCGAGCAACACAACACGTGTGTCGCAAAACCAAAACTAAAACTAATTTACCCACCAGACGCGGGATCAACCACACACGTAGCGATACTACGCCCAGCACTCCAGACTACACTTGCGACTCAGAGAAAGGTAGCAAACACGGATTGGGAAAAAATGAACGTTTAAAGTGTAATGGTTGAATTGTATACGCTAGCGTTGGAAATGTAGACCGCGGGATGTGTGATGTGAACTATGTGATATATGTATAATGTACATACCCATGGCAGAACGTGTACGTGTAAACAACGTTGTCTAGATCCCTCCCCACCTCTCCCCTTTTTATTCTGTACCCCCCCCCATACACTGCTTTTTGATGCATGACAAAATAAAAATTGTCAAATTGAAAAAAAAAAACTGTATTATTAAATTATGATTCTTAACCTGTCTATTCTCCTTCTAGTAGATAAAGACCGTATAGCCCCGCTGATTCCATAGCTGCCCAATACATTACGTTAAGACCAGATGTATACTCCCTTCGAATAGTCCCCATCAGTGAAGAAGAAAGATGGTGCCCATAAATCCAGCCTGACGAAAGCAATAAACAAGCTTTATGAAACACCAGACTTATTTGGGGTGGATGGGAAGCTTGAGGAAATGCTATTGTACATGGAATATTACTGTATTATGTATTTCTTTTTTTGTTTCATAACATGTCGCAAGATAGCAAATATGGATTTTGGAGAAATCCTCTATTAACGATAACTTCAGTATAGTCATAGTGTAAAAGCAAGAGGTGGAGTGTTATGGACATGAAATATGACTACCATTTTAACACAATATTTTTTTTTCGCCCATAACTCACAAAGTTATTAGTTTACCATTTAACTGATATTCCCTGCATAAATGCCATTGTGTTTTTCTTTTTTTTTTTTTGTGGTGCAGTGAAAAATACACAGTATGACAGTGACATATGTTGCACTGCAAAACGATTGAATACAAGCTTAGGGATAGAGCACAAAATGTCAAGAGGAACTGCACATTTTTTATAGAAAGTATGTATTTAAGTGTATTTTAAAGCGAAAGAATAAAGGAACAGTGCAGTATATGCCGAGTAGGGATGTATTAAAACAGCTGGACAGTTTTAAAAAGTGGAGACAGTAAATAGCAGTAGAGGATTGCAGGTAGCTTAATAAAACTCCCAGGAGCCCACCCAACAGGTTGCAAATGGATTTAGACACAAGTGACTTCTGGATTAGTGTGAACTACAGAAGTACTGTTGAGACACCATGCTAGGATTAGGTGGGTATTCCCAGGCCCAGCTCTGATATCAGCTGACTCCCTCCAGAGGTTGAACACACCGGTAGTAGGACCACAAGCCTGCTTGAGTAGTCACTTGGGCCCATGCTTGAAAGGGGTCACTCTCTATCAGCGCTGCATCCCTCCATGGGTGTCACAATCTCCATGGTGACATGTGGAAGGCCAGGTGTGCTTATCTTCCTGGTGGATTTGAACTCTGGACTCTTGCTGCTTTGGTCCTGCTCTCTTTCCTCTGAGCCACGCATCTATTCATATTTTCTTCCTATGTCCAGTCTTGCCTTCTTTCTGTACTGCATACATATCTGCTGCAGAGCCTCCCTATCCAGTTTCTGTGAGGTCTGCATATTTTCTCCTAGTTCCTGGGATCCGCAGAAGCTGCATCAGGGCCCTGGTATGTGGCAACACAAACCCTGGTGCTCAACACCAGCGGGCGTGTGGTTACCCTGCACCAGGCCCTGATTGTTAATTTCCACGAGGTTGACTCATTACAAATTTTTGCTAAGGTTGCCAGTTTCCGCTCTAGGCCTATATTTTTTTTGCCTGGGTCATTAAGTTTCATCTATCCAGAGCAGCA